ACATTTTCATAAGAAATGTAGAAAATCATTGTTTTTTTATATTCTGTTAGTTTTAGTTGTTTTCACTTAATTAATTTAAACCACACCTCCTAATGTGTATGTAAAGTCTTAGTTGAATACTATCGAACTCCAAACTAACTCTTCGGATATATTCACAATCTGCATGATCGAAGTGATTAAAAGATCACATTGTACTAAGTATTACCTTTAATTTCTACAGAGGGAATGCTTAACTTTAACCTCTAAACAACCTTATTAAAACTTCAATGTAATATCTTTAAATTAAAAGAATGAGTTGCAGTTACGAACTCTCTGAAATGTTTTTTCTTCTTAAAAACAAAAATGCGAAAATAGGTTAACTTTCTTTTTTTTTTTTTTCTCCTAGGGTGTGATGGTTGGAATGGGTCAAAAAGACAGTTATGTTGGTGACGAAGCTCAAAGTAAACGTGGTATTTTAACCTTGAAATACCCGATAGAACATGGCATTGTAACAAACTGGGATGACATGGAAAAAATCTGGCACCATACCTTCTACAATGAGCTTCGCGTAGCCCCAGAAGAACACCCAGTCTTGCTCACGGAAGCTCCACTTAACCCTAAAGCTAACAGAGAAAAAATGACTCAAGTATGTGTATTCTTAATTTTAGTTAAGTGACTTGTACGAACTCAAAAACGTAACTTCCGGCTTTAATCTTTTGATTAATTAACGAAGCATTAAAATATCTTGAGCAAGTGGTTTTATAAAGAGTGCTGGTAGAAAATGTTTTTGAGGAAGAGGGGAAAAAGTCAAATATATGAGTGTTCTATGCTTTTCACTTTATTTTTACATTAAAAAAAAAAATCAAATTTTGACTTTTTTTATTTTAAATAAACTGCTGCCCTCTAAACTTTAATTCTTATAATATAAATCTTTCAAAATGTATTATTAATAACTTGTTTGTTAAATTATTCATAATTTGTTTTCTTACAGATCATGTTTGAAACGTTTAACACCCCTGCCATGTACGTAGCCATTCAGGCTGTGTTATCTCTGTATGCGTCTGGACGTACTACAGGTATAGTATTGGATAGCGGCGATGGAGTATCCCATACTGTCCCCATTTACGAAGGTTATGCTCTTCCCCATGCCATTCTTCGATTGGACTTGGCTGGCCGTGACCTTACAGACTACCTCATGAAAATCCTTACCGAACGTGGATATAGTTTCACCACTACTGGTGAGTGATG